TGATCACACCGATTAGGTATAACATTATGACCACCTTGCTAATATTCTGTTGGCCCCCATTTTGCTGGCAAAACAGCCCTGACCCATCGAGGCATGGACTCCACTAGACCCCTGAAGGTGTGCAAGATATTAGCGGCAGATCCTTTAAGTCCTGTAAGTTGCAAGGTGAGGCCTCCATGGATCGGACTTGTTGGTTCAGCACATCCCACAGATAATCGATTGGATTGAGATCTGGGGAATTTGGACCATTCCTGAACCATTTTCGTTTTGTGGCAGGACGCATTATCCTGCTGAAAGAGGCCACATGGGAATACAGTTTCCATGAAAGGGTGTACATGGTTTGCAACAATGCTTCGGTAGGTGGTATATGACCCAAGGTTTCCCAGCAGAACATTGCCCAAAGCATCACACTGCCTCCACCGGCATAGTGCATTCTGGTGCCATGTGTTCCCCAGGTAAGCAACGCACACGCACCCAGCCATCCACGTGATGTAAAAGAAAACGTGGTTAATCAGACCAGGCCACCTTCTTCCATTGCTCCATGCTTTGCTGAGAGATGGAGAGGCAATGACGGGAACAGGTTTTACAGGAACCTCTGGACCATGAGAGGATCTTCTGGGATCACAACAACCATTACATGGAGCTTTTCCACAAAGTTGGCTGTGACAGGGCAATTTTGGGACTGCTAGACACTAGGCTTGTCATCCCTGCAAGATGCTTTAGAGTGGAGGGAACTCTGAAACTGTGGCGGGAAGTAGTGCAAATAAAATTTCCATTTCATTTGGATTTGACTTGTAAATATGAAGATACTTCTTTATGCTATCTATACACTATTTTTAGGTTTTCTTTAGGATGATCGAGTAAGAATGATTTTATGAGCCTCTGTTTTAGCTGTAACAAATATTTGTAGTATAATATGATATGATGATTTTTTTAAGGTTCACTTTAAATCTAATTGTTATAGTTTGATCTTTCTTTCCTATTTCTGTAATGAGTTAATAATCCTGCGCCGCCTCCGCTCTGCTTGCACATGCAGTGTGAAACCGGTGTAAGAGTGAAACGATTTGATTATCAGTTAATTCTTAATCATATAATTAATCTGCAAATCTTTCTTTCGCTGTTAGTGCACATGCAGGTACAAACGCAAAAGCCTGAGTCTCGCTGTATCGCTCAGGCTGCACTGCAGGGTCTATTCACAGGCGCGACCCCACTACTGATCGACACGGGGGCTTCGACCTGCTCCGTCTCCCCGTCTCCGAGGTTCACCCATCCTTAGACGACCTGGTGGTCCCGAGCTCCCCCAGGAGCACCATATCGATACCGAACTTACGAACTTAGCCCGATCGACATAGTCCACTGCAGCCCAGAACCCCTGAACTCAAGCGATCCGCCAGCCTCAGCCTCCCAGCAGCTTGGATTACAGGCGCGCGCCACT